TAAACAAAATAATAACACTTAAAACAGGTACAAATTAAACAAATAGGATTAATTTTTTAAAAAAACAAAAACAATTAAAAAGTCTGTCATTGATGAACAAATACAAAGAAAAGGAATGTATAAGGTGCATTAATGAAAGAACATTGTTAACCAATTTACAATGTGCCCTTCTAGCTTTTATATCAACAAAAGCCGATATAACACTTTCAAAACCAAACAGAACAAGTAGTTTTTCTCATGATTTTTTAAACATTAAGTCAATTACTTTTTATGAAGAAAACACATTTTTTACATTTGATTTTCACAACTTTATGAAACGAAGAAGATCAGAAAAAATGACAGAATTTCAAAAAAGTGGAATTGAAAAAAAGAGATGTAGTCGAATTATCCAAAACGAAAAGAAAAGGGATGTTTTACATTTATTAGAAGATTTTTTATTTGAAGACGGATTTATAGTGTTTTATGAAAACGAAAACAGAGAAGGAATAAGAGGAAATGTTTATATTAAAATGCCTGATGGGAATTTAATTGATAAAAATATGATAATAAGACTGGGGACAGCAATTTGGAAATACTGTAATGATACATTAGTACTAAGTCAAAATATCATTTTATCAAAAGAACGAATGATGAATGTTATATATAAAATAGAACAATAATTATATGTAAATAAATATTTGTTGCCTTTTGTATTATATTAGTTTGATAGAATAAATCAAAATGTGTATTTATTAAAATTCATATAATGAAATTTTAATATAAATTTTTATTATTTTTTTGAATTAAACTATTTTCAAGTTTACAGGAGGGATAATAAATCGTTTTAGTCTTTTAACTCGCCTTCACTTTATTTTATAGATTTTAAAAATATAAATAAATAAAAATATTACTATTTTTTACAGGGGCTGAATGTACTCCGTAAAAACTGTTTCTGTCTAATGTGAAAACATGTATTACAATTTAATTATAATTAACAATTAAAACAATAATAAATGGTTAAAATATCAAAAGCAGTTTTTTACCTTTAATCCAAAAAATGTTAAATTAAAAATTTTAATTAAATAACCACAATAATCAAATTAATTGTTGTTGTTATTCTGATTATTCAAAAAACTATTTTATTATGTTTTTGAAAAATAATTAACAAACATTGAATATTGAATTGAGCGTGTTTATTATGTTGTCTTAACTTACATGATTAATTTAAAAAAATTACTAAATTATAAATGAAGATTAATTTAATATTAATCATAAGTAACGTTCAAGATGTTTTTTGAATGTCAATTAATAAATATATATTTTATTGAATTTAAAAAAATATTATTTTTAATCACAATTTTTGAAAAAACTCGATTATCAGTTTTACTCGTAATGAATGATTGTGTTTGATGAATACCAATGATCACCAAATTTTTGAACACTTGATGGTATTGTCAAACTGCTTAGATGAGGGCATTCGATAAAACATTTATCCTTAATTGATGTGACGCTTGATGGTATTATCACACTGCTCAAACACACACAATGTTCAAAACAATCATAAGGAAGTGATGACACACTTGATGGTATAGTCACGCTGCTTAGACTATTACACCAACAGAAACAGAAATCATCAAGTGATGTCACACTCGATGGGATAGTCACACCACTCAGTTTTTCACATTCACCAAAACAACCATTTTCAAGTGACGAGACACTTGTTGGTATGGTCACACTTGTCAAACTGTGACATCCATCAAAACAACGTCTATCAATGAATGACACACTTGATGGGATATCCACACTTATTAAACTTGTGCACCCAAGAAAACATTCCTCACCAAGTGATGTCACACCTGTTGGTATTGTAAGATGACTTAAACTACTGCACCAACATAAACATTGATATTTGAGTACTGGCACACAATATGGTATTACCACACTGCTTAGACTGGTACATTCATGAAAACATTGACTACCAAGTGATGTCATTGTTGATGGTAGTATCACATTGCTGAGACTGCTGCAACCATAAAAACAATAATCACCAATCGATTTGACATTTGATGGGATTGTCACACTTTCCAACGTTTTGCATTTATCAAAACAGCCATTACCAATTGCTGTTACATTTAATGGGATGTTACTGCCATGTTTGTGTCTGTTGTATTTTGTGTAAGTCACACTTTTAAATACAACGTTACGATCTTTGTTTTTTTCAACAGTACCATAATTAACACCAAACCACACTATGATCTGATAAAAAGTCTTTTCCAAAACAGTTACTATATCTTCATTGACATCTTCATATTGTTCACTGTCTGAACTGGCTTTATATCGATCATTTTTTGATTCTATGTTGATAACAAATCCGTTGCCAAAGTTCTCATCGCGAGTGCTCCACAAGTGAAGTGTCTCGATATTTGGGAAGTATTTCGCTGTGATGTAATTCAATGGAATTGGGTTATAATAAAACTTCTCCATATTGCCTTTGAACTTTTTGCATACAAATTCAAGATTAATAAAGTCCTTGATGTTCTTGAAATACTTTGAGACTATCATGACGTGATAGTTGTTAAGTGTGGACATTCTGATTATACAATTATATTATTTGTTTAAATATATAACTACACATTTTTGTATATTACCAAAACTAAATTTATCAGTAAAATAATATAAAAATATAATAAAAACAATAATAATATTAATAAATTAATTGTTATAATTAATTGTGTAATGATGATAATAATACTACACTTATTATAATCAAATAACAAAAATAATAAAAATCATAGTACACAATTTCTTTGAAATA